TTTACAGAACTATACATTTCTATATCTATTATTTTAATCTTACAGCAAGTGAGAGTAATCCATGATACATAAAACAGTATTCCCACCTTAAAGTGAGGTTATTCTTCTATGGAGGACAAGTCTGGAGATACGAATCTGTTCTTGTCATCAAACCCTGTATTTTGCACTTCAGTTAATAGCCTACTGAGGATATACCTTTTTAAAAAACCTATTAGAAATACACTTTTTATCTGAAAGTCAGGCTGGATTATTTACTAAAACAGCAGGATACTGTCATGTCATGCAATGATTAAAACCCGAAATTATGATGTATTTATCTGGGATTACTTTGAGGGGTGTGTACTGAATGAGGGGCCATGTGCATTGTAAAAAAGGAACAATAAGGGAGTATTCAGATAAATAAGCTATATAAGGTTTCTTTCAGTGCCAATACTTGTTAGTAGGTGTCATTGCTGGTTTTGACATCTTCAATTGATTTTTGGCCAATAAGAGCTGAACAAAAAGAAAAAAGAAGCTGAATAGAATCAGACTTATTCACTCCATGTCCTGTAGGAAACAGAGCAGTTTTCACATGTATCCTTGAAATGTCAGAGCAGCATGTGAAAATCTTTATTGTGGCGTCTAATTGTAACCATTCATTCAATTTAAGATTTGTAGAAAGTTGTGGTAAATATCAGGGCAATGGTGCAATATTCAAATCGCAGGAAGCACAATATTTGTTAAATATAATAATATATATTTTGGAGCTGCAGCCTATAAAAATCATATTCTACAGACTTATGATAATATTGAAATAGTACTGATATAGATTTTCTCCAGAAATCTAAAAATGATCATTGACTGCAATCAGTCAAAAATGTAATGTATTTTTCAATAATAATTAGAATATTTATGCAAAATGACCCTCCAGTCCCTGTTTTAAGTGAACCCAATATCAGTCAAATTAATCACAATTAGTTGCAGCCCAAGTGGATATATGCTACAAAACATCAACTAAAAGCCAGCACAGTTTCACATTAACTGGTGTAGTAAATGCAGGGGAAATAGATATACACATTAGGGCTAAAGCCAATAGTTCTGTGGTTAGAGAACAGTAACTACCTCCTGTGCCATCAGCATCTTGAACTCTTAGTGGTCGTGCAACACTTAAATACAGAGAGTATGGCTTCATCAAGGCCATAAAGCATAAAGAGGACGTATCTAGCGCTTAACGCTAGGGACAGAGCCGATAGAGGAGTAATGATCCCTTAATGTGGTGGCCTGTCTCTCTCAACCTCACGCACTCTTTCTGCCCCTCCTCCTCCTCCCCTACTGCTACATTAGCAGGGATAATAAATGAGACTCCGGCATCACAAGCATAAACTTTTTATGACCCACCTAACCAGCCTTATCAAATGTGGATGTGATTACTTCGCCAGGTGACAGATGGAGAGATGGATGGACAGAAGTGGAGGGAGAGATGGAATGCAGATGCATTTCTAGTGGAAATAAATAATTATTTAATATTGTGTACACGAAGGAGTGATGAGTGCGGAAAAGTAGGAATAGGAAGTGTTAAAATAAAGGATGAGGAATAAAAAATGAGAGTAGAATGAGGGAGGTGAGGAGTGGGAGGGTGGGTGTGTCCTGAGTGGTGCTCTGGCTAGCTGCTCTGAATGGATGGTAAGATGGAGTGGACAGGCTGTATGGGCCCAGTGAAAGGAGCCTTTCTCCTCTACATGATAACTTTGATCCCTCCTGTTTCCACACACCAGTCAGCAATATTGTTAAGCAGCAGTTGGTTAATACTTTAACCGAGTCCTGGTATGAAGGCGAAAGGAGGAGGGTACTCCCAGCCCCCCACTCCCCCCCCCCGCCCCAAACCTCCATTCCTTTTTCCGTTACTACTCAGACTCCAATTTCAATTTACTGTATGTTCAAAAACACATTAAGTTTAAGGAATCAATCAATTGTTATTTTCTGTAATTGCCCTTGTCTGTAATGTTATCAAGAGATGATAAGATATTACATTGGAAAATAAATGAATGAAAATAACAATAGCAAATGTTGAATTCTATAAAGTTATGGAATTCAAGCCAATAGATAAAAGAAAGAAGTAGCAGAAACATATACATGTCAACAAGAATACAGAAATATAGTTATGGAATGTATAATATAAATATAGTTTATTACATTACAGACTGCATAGTAACTCATAATCAGATGTAAAGGAAAGACACTTGGCTGCCTTTAGTTGTACCATTTTTGATACTTGTGACACTGAAGAAAAAACGATTTAACTCTATAGCATAATTAGTTTATGCATCACCACAACATGATGCTAAACTTCAATATAATTATAAATGTAATGCCCTTGCTGTCATTTTGCCTGCAATGGACTGGCGACACTGTGGAACATTGCACAAAAAATGTGAAACTAGAAATAATGATCACATCATTCCCCATGAAGTTATTCTATACTCTGCTGAGATTCAGGACTCTTCAAGTTGAGGAATTTCCTCCCAGTAACTAGTGTGCCATGTTATCTGAATGACTGATAGCGTGGATGCATGCTAAACATGTTTGACATGTAGTTTTTGTTCTCCCTCATTAACGAACGGCCCGAGTATGAAGAGATCAGATTAAAGGTAATTAAAATGACAAAAACACACCATCCCTCCTAATGTAGCAGTAATGACGGCCTAAGTGTAGCTGAATGCCAGCCCCCTCCACCTGTTTTTCCTCTCTGTTCCTCCCTCCGCTTATCCCTCTCTTCAGCTCAGCTGTGGCTGCAGAATCATTAACCTGGCTCTGTGAGTAGGATGTGCTGACAGAACACTCTGCTATTGTGCTTCCTGTCATCTTCAGGAAATCAGGGCTTCCCCCTGCTGTCGAGGTAAAGCACCACCGGGTGATGAGCGATGCCAATCTCTCTCTTCGTTCCTCCTTTTATTTTGTTCTTCTATTTCTATGTTTGTCTCATTCTCTTAACCTGTCTTTATGTCTTTCTTCAAAAACTGCTTGCACGTAAAAAACAATCCTTTAGTGAAATATCCATGACCAATCTGAGATTCAGCTGAGCAAATAGACTACATTCAAATAAATTCAAATAATAATACAATAATTATTATAGCTATACTTTGACTTTTAACTCATTTAAATAAATGAATAATAAGGATAGTATATACACATATGCAAAGTATCAACAGATGAGCAGGAACATTACAACTAACAATGGAAAGCTCGTTTTTATAGTTGAACTATTGCATTGGCTTGCATGGTATTATCAGGCAGGTGTTCCTATAATTTAGCCCACCCGTGTGTGTGTGTGTGTGTGTGTGTGTGTGTGTGTGTGTGTGTGTGTGTGTGTGTGTGTGTGTGTGTGTGTGTGTGTGTGTGTGTGTGTGTGTGTGTGTGTGTGTGTGTGTGTGTGTGTGTGTGTGTGTGTGTGTGTGTGTGTGTGTGCGTGTGTGTGTGCATGTTTGTGCGTGTGCCCTGGTGTTAGTGATGGAGTGGGTATGCTCTGTCATGAGCAGCACCGAGTTGACGCTTCCTTTACATGGCAGCTGCAAGGCTCCAGTGATGTATCAGAGTCAGCAGAAGCATTGATCAGAACTGGGGTTAATCATTGCTCCGGGAACCTAGAGGAGATAGAGGCTGCCTGGGGAGAAGTAAGCCAGGCGAGTGGGCGGCTTCACCACAGGAGGCCTGCAGCTCTACAGTAAAGGAATGCTGGCAGGAGGACATAACCACTTGTATGTTTATTTCACTGTCCAACTATCAGCTGTTCATAATAACAAGAAGTTCAGCATAAGTTTATGTATGCTTGGGCGTGTGTGTGAGAGAGAGAGGAGAGGGAGGGGGCTGATGGGACCAGCAATGTAATCCCCTTAAATGGACGGACTTCCGAAATGTGGGCAATGTGATGCCGGATCTGTGCTGTGTCTACTCAGCAGTACCCATTCACTCCCCTGAGCTGGGGAGTTAATAATTCAAAAGAGAGATGGGGAAAGAGGCCATAGGCCTGAGTGACAACATGGAGAGTATAGCAGGAGATATAGACCAGTGCAAGTATGGAAAAAGAGACCATAAAGGAATGGAGACAAACAATGTAGAAACAAATTAATCAAAGTAATATTGCAAAGGGCAACTTTTTCACTTTGGAGAAAACTGACCCACAAACTCTTCCACCAACACCTTTCCCTCCATTCGGCCTCCCCCTCCTCTCCCTACCCTTCCCTGTGAACTGCCGTCACACTATCATGTTGCCAACATCAAAGTCCAGGATGCTATCTATAAGAAGCACACATGAGGATAAGAAGGAAACACACATGGATCTACAAATAAGTAGTGGCATAGATAAACAAACAAGCCTGCACACAAACACACTTTTGCACATGCACAGATACTTGAAGGAATGTCAGAGATGCCAGTAGGAAGGATGAGGGGCATTGGGAACACAAAGAGGTCCATCTCCTCAGAGGGGAGGAAAAACAGGGCAATAAAACTGTCATGTCAAGCCAAGAATTTGCTGATGGCACACATACATATACGCAAGTTCAGAGAGACAAAAGAGAATCTGTCAAGCAGATAAAGCCATCACTTCTCCTTTTCATCTGGTTTTGTCCAGAGGCGTCCCCCTTTCACCTCTCCTCTGCCCTGCCAACACTTGTCAGGCAAGAGAGTCATTAATGTTTAGCTGGGCAGTGATGGCAGCGCTGACAGCACTCATCTGTCTAAGGAGACAAGATGAGAGAGAGGGACAGCCCATCAAAGGATGCCACTTAGAGAGTGAGAAGGAGATTTGCGGGAGGGAAAAAATGTAAAACTTTAGGCTGGATGAGTAGGGAAGAAACCAATCCTTCTTTGCAAAGTTAAAGGTTACGTCATCAAGGTGGGCTATAAAATGATGCTATTGTCATTTCCATCCTCCCCTTCCCTTTCTGTCTCTCCATCCATCCACCTACACAGCCCCCATCTCCCCTCCCCTCCATGTGCTTGTCAGCAGTTTGATTCAATACCTGCAGGTTAGTTACTCATTGAGCTGAGGAGGGACCGGAGCCGATGGAGGTGTATGGACGCCTGTCTATGGGCAGCCACTGGTGGTTGGGGGCTGCTGTTTGATTGACAGATCTGCCAGCGTCGTCCATTCCTTCCTGTAAAGACACAAGACACAAAGCACAGGAAGTGGAGGGAGGTAAATAGCTTTGAATATGAATGGTACACTGCAGGGGCGGTTAATAATTGGGAAGTGTTGGACTATTAATCTGAGAGACAAGGCGATGTTGGGTTTCGTTGTTGTGTGCTGCTGTAGCTCTGACAGCAAACTGTACGGCCTTCACTTCTGGATAAACAGTTTAAGTGTCTCCTGATGTTTCCCACAAGCTATTCACAGTATTCACAACCACAATAACGATTTGCAGTACTTTAATAATGCCATTATACTGTTATTCACTTTCAAGCTCTGATGGACCTGTAATGAAACACTAATGCCATTAATTTGAATTTCAAAGAACAAGCTTTCTCAAGTTTCTAATCTATTCCATTCGACTCTTTATGCTGCATGTGTTCTGTGCATTTTATATTCACATCTACTTACTCATTGATAGCATGATAACTTCTGTTTGTCTTCCAAAATAGATCTGTTAGGATGTTTATAAGTATTTGTGCTAAGTGAACGTGTCCAAATATATATATATTGTGAGTGCAATGCAATAAATGAGTGTTTCCCTCCATCTTTCCAGATATGTCAGAAGTTAATGGAGAAGGTGCTTTGACTGCCGTGACAAGTTAAGTAGAGGGAGCGGGACCATTGTCTTCCAAATCAGCTGTCAGTGTGGTTCTGCTGTCAGCAGTTTAACTCACTACCTGCCTGGTTAATCATCGACCTGCACTGAGCTGCGAGCTGCTGGAGGTGTACGGCCCACCGCCACGGACCCCCATCATCGCCACAACAGGACAACATCTGATTGACAGATTAGCAAGCAATGGCGCTTTTTCAAAGAAAGACCGGGGGAAAACACGATGGAGAGTGGTGATTGGAATTGAAGGAAACTCTAAGATGAAGAGTGTGGTAAAGGACGTGTGTGGGAGTGGTGTACTGAGGAATATAAAGATATAAGATGGTTTACTTTGATAAATACATTGGTAAAATGAGTCATTTACAGGACCATACAGGTACAGTTATACTGTATCAGTGTGTTTGATGGGCAGATCAAATCTCTCTGACCAGTCAAAGCAGATCATCTATAACTTTCTCAGCTGTTTGAATAATTGTGTAGTTATAAAACAAAAAATCAAACAATTTCCTCATGGCAGGCAGTTTTCTCTCAAGGCATGCCGTACCAGGAAGGCTAAGGATGGAGAGCGGAGACAAATAATTAGGCTTCCTTTGAAAGGGAAATTGCCTCCCCTATTGGAAATGAATGCTGCTACAACCACAGTTTGTTCCCCCCCCGATAAGGTTATCCCCACTCTAGTCATCTCCCCCTCCTCTGATTCCCTCATGCACGCCCGCTGAGGTTTGATTTCAAATGGAAAAATTAATGGGAGAATAATAGCCTTGGGCCTTACTCTCTTCCACACACACATCTTAGTTGCTTTACAGGGGTATAGTGAGGGGGAGTACAAATCAGATCCACTTGCCTCACTTGGCAAATGCTGTTCCATTGTGACACACGCGCACGCACGCACGCACACACACACACACACACACACACACACACACACACACACACACACACACACACACACACACACACACACACACACACACACACACACACACACACACACACACACACACACACACACACACACACACACACACACATACACCAGGGAAATGCCCCCACCCATAGTTTACACCTTAGAGGGCTTAACTTTCAAATATTAGTACAGTGGCTGTGCGGATTTCAAATAAATAAATACATGAGGAAGCAATGATTAGCAATTCTCCTGATAGTTATACCGATGTGTTTCATTTTCACTTCCATGACAATATTTCTGCAGAAACAGTGATTCTGAGAACTTTCCAAGCTTTAACTCCTACAACTGGCATGAGGAATTTCCCCCTCTACATTTGTTTTGCAGTGATTCAGGGAGTCACATAGAAGCTTCTAAAGGAATTCAAAGTCCCTGGCTTGGGAAAACACAAGAAAGAAAAATAGTAATTCTTCTCTTTCAATATAAATTATTTGATTTAATGAACAAAGTAGACATTGTGCTGGAGTAAAGACAAACTGTGTTATCCTTATTATTCTGAGTGCTTCTGGCATAATGTTGGCAATTTTTAGGGGGCACAAAATTAGATGCACAAAAGCACACACTCACCCACACACACAAGATGTGCAAGTTTCACTTCGCTGATACAGTGCCAAGCAGGTTGCAGGCATTATTAAATCAAAGTTAAGTCTTGTTGCTCTTAGGCTAGCAACACAAGTGTGTGTGTGTGTGTGTGTGTGTGTGTGTGTGTGTGTGTGTGTGTGTGTGTGTGTGTGTGTGTGTGTGTGTGTGTGTGTGTGTGTGTGTGTGTGTGTGTGTGTGTGTGTGTGTGTGTGTGTATCTAGCTAGCTAGCTAGGGTAGGGGGTCGGTTGTTAAGAGTTTAAAAGCGGAAGAGGAGTTGGTGTAGAACCAGTATTGATGTCGGGGAAGCCCACTGGCACTTTCTGTTCAAACATTTGAGAGGACCGACCTGCCCATGCTGCAGCGCCCGGGTGGCAGGATTCCCGCTCTTCCTGTTTCTCCTGACTTTGAGGAATTTTACGGTGAACAAACTCCCAGTGCTCCTCTCACACTCCCCACACCTCATCACAGATACCTGCCTCAGCAAAACTAGAAAGAGATAGAACAAGTGAGAGAGAACTTTCCAGGCATTTTGAGGAGTTCCTAACTAATCCCTTTCTGTGTATCATATATAGATATGTTTCCTCTATAAACCAGGTGATGGATACAAATCAATCCTGATGATTTCTACCAGACTCACTTTAATATTTGCCCCTTTGACTAAAAGGCAAACTGCGTGGCTTATGGGTGTGATAGGGCCTTAACCAGGAAGAAAAAACATACATTTGAACAAGGTCCAAAACCTTTGGAGACTGCTGCCAAAATCAATCGAAAGACAGAGAAAATATTCTCTTATGACTCATCTCTATTCTAAATAAAAATGTTAACAATATTGATGGAATATTTACTTTTTTTCTGTGACTGTTCAAATGTTACAGTGATAATTAGTTTAGAGAGCGTCCAAGGGGGCATAAACCTACAAGCTCAGGGATGCTGAATTTCAAGAGGTAGAAAGAGAGGTTTAATACATTGAAAGAAAGGCTGTCTAGGGTGGAGTGATGGTGCGACACACTTCTAAAACAAGCCACCGTCCCTGTGCCTCTCACAGTGTGCCTGTGGGCACATGTAGCATTAATTGCTGCCTCCACAGAGCCTGCAGACTGCACACACTATCTATTGCACGCATCAAAGAAGCCACACGCTGAACTTTATGAAATTTTTATTTAATGTGTTCACTTCTCTTCCCTTTCTCCTCTTTTTCTTCCTTTTCCTATTCCCCACCTTGGCCCCCCTTTCCCTTTTTAGCTCCGCCACCAAACAGACAAGAAAGACTTCTCTCTGCCATGTTTTTCAGCTCGACTTCCTTCCTGCCCAGAAGCGCTCGAGTATCTCGTTAGTTCTCTCACAGCTAACATCTCTGCCAGGAGCAAAAAACCTGATCAGGGGGGGGAAATAAAAGAGAAGAAAGGGGGGACTACATCAATAAGTTTGGTGGGTGAGATCTCCACAGAGCTAGGTGAGAAACTGTAATATCATTTAGATACAGTAATTACACATACACGAAACACACAAAGGAAAGAAAGGAGATGAGAGGGGTTTCTCTCCCTGTGGACAATATACACCGAAGGGCCTTAGTTTCATCATAACCTCAGCATAGATACAAGTACATGCTAAAACACATTGCAATATCATTGTTAGTGATCCCTGCACAGATCTCTAATACATGAACAAAGGTTTGGAGAAAGGTTAGCTTATTTCACATAGTCCACAATGAGTTATTTTCACTATCACAAACCTTTTGCCCTGGGCCTGATTATGACAACAGAGCAAATCCAGACTTTAGATTGATGCACCCTGCACATTACCTCCCTTTTAACTGATCTCTCTCTCACACAAATACACACTCAGATACACACACACATTGTGGTCATCAATCAAAGCAGCAAGTGTTGTTTCTCCCCCCACACGTCTCATACACAGGTATAAATCACTGCGCCTGATTTCTGGGGCCAGGGTTTAAATAATTAAAGAGCTTTAATTTATCAGGATTTAGCACCCCTTAACAGTAGGGCTGACAAAAGAGAATGAGAGATATATTGAGAAAGAAAAAAGGTCATTATACATGAGAAACACAGACAACATTATTACAGATTTTACTGGAGAGGAAAACAGACATAGGGCTAAGTGGCACCAAAGACTACGTGAAAAGGCATTAAGGTTCTGTCTCGAGCTACTTGATCTGGGTGTATTAACATTTATTTACCTGTTGGTAAAAGACAAATGCAATGCAACCATGTGTGAATATTTGCACTATTGTATATGGTTGATTTGTGAGTTACAAGTCATTGAATAAAAAATAAAAAAAGGTAGACACAATCCAATTTTTCAGAATTGAAATTAAAAACATCCAGCAAACATCAAGCAAAGTCAAACAAAATGTTCTTGTAAGTGTACATGCTGCCATTTTTTGAGAAATATAAATAATAAACATGTTGATTTTGTATTTAAGAACTGTTGCGGCAGTGTTGTTAAGAAATATGAAAGCCAGCAAAACAAACTGGAGTGTTTTGGGGATGAAGCTACCAAGACACTGGGCATTAAAATACAAACTACTGTAATAACATTTAAAATTCTGAAGTGATGTCACGTCATGGACTGTCTAAAAGCTAAGTTATGGTTATAACAAATATCCCCACTAAAACCTCTAAAGATCAGTGACATTTTTGTATGCTGCATATAAAACCTAAGCTGGAGAACAACACATTGAGTACAGCACATTTATAGAATGAAATCTGTCTTGAAAGAAGCCACAAGGCTGGTGAGAGCCAGTGGATGTCATGGATGGTGGAACTCTACTGCCCCCTTATGGCCAATAACATGCAACAGAAAATCTAATTCGAATTAAAAATCACAAAACTGACCAATAATGACACACTAATGGTCTCCTATTTGCATCTTTTGGTTCACTGGATGAACTATTAGCCCTAAGAGATTAGGAAGTCAGAAACAAGATCTACCAGCAGGCACAAAGACATAAGGGAGAAACATTACAATAACGCAAACAGCCATCATTTGGCTTTGTTTGACCCTCTTATTATTTATTCTTTCCAGTAGATCTCTGAAAACAGAATGAACATACATTCTCTCACACAAACTATGCTAGAAGCAGCATAAAAAAAGAAAGAGCTTCCATCTGCTATTAATTCAACAAAAAACCCTCTCCACTTTCGAGAGTAAACCATAGGAGTAAACATGCAGAGTCACTCTTTAGTAGACTATTATATAATATTGATAACATTACTTGACCACCTCACGAGTGAAGTCTTTCGTTTGCTGGCAATAGTTAGCCACCTAGTGGTCGAACCCTCTTATAACATCAAGTATTGACGACAGGGACATTTAATTACAACTTTGGAAGTTTTTGGCTATATGACACTGTGCCATCAATGAACAAACAGCTTGAACAAACAAAATTCTGTAGATATTTAACAAACTATCAAGTCTACCGACTCAACTGGGGGGAAGATAAGAGTTTATCACACCAGAAACACAGTATCACTCCTAAGTACAATATGCTTTTTAACCATATTGTATGATTTATTTTCTGATTATAAACCTATAAATCAATAGCAACAATACCAATTGTCCTGTGACACTGATCACCAAAAGTAATACACTACCACCCCCCCTCTTGAAGGATGGACAAAGTTTCAGTGTGTTAATCTGTTTTTTCAAGACTTCCCATCACCATCTTCCCATCACTGGATTCCTGCTCAGGATTGTTATTCACACTTCAATTGTCCATCAGGGAGCGCTGTAGAGCTTCCTGGATCATCGTGTGCTCATCTGTGGAGTAGTCCTACAAAGACATGGGCGTAAGGAGAGAAGAAAACAGAACCAATTAGGAAACTCATCGTTAACATCACAAAGATAAACTCTAGGCAATGTTTAAGGCCTTAACTTACAACAAAGGTGTCATAGGAGAATGTGTGTCTGATCTTCAAGTGCTGGAAAAAGTCAGCACTCCTGTAGCTAGGGTCCCCCCAAGGCATTGAGGCACAGATGGGACACACCTGAACAGACACATAGTCAAATTAATAATGCATCTATAAACAAATTAACCCTAACTTATTCCAAATAATACGTTAACATTGTAGTGTAGATTTCCTACCACTTGTCGTGTATCACGACCATGCTGGGAAGTGCAATGTTCGACCAGACCGTCCTGATCGAGGTTCTGGCAGTTGCAGTATGGGCAGGTGAAGGTGAAGCGATTTGGTACTGGACTGTAGGAAAGATACAGAAACAATCAAATGTGTTACACCACTGATTCTGTATTTGAACATGGAGAACAGATGTAGCTCTCCTTGCTGTGAATCAAGCTAAAACCATGTTTACTTGTATTTGCTGCCGAACTGGTGACTCGGGGAAACGGAGTCTTTAGAGCAAAGCATGGCTTTGACAAATAGTAATCACAAAAATGTAACATTGTCATACTAAACATAGTAGTACTGACCTAGCTAGTGGGGCCCACAAATAGAAACTCACATGCACTTATCGGCACTAAAATGGTGACATGGCGCTGCATGTAGAGAAGCTTGGATTAAAAACACAGAGAGGAGAGCTGAGTCTTTACTCCACCATATATTTACATGTCAAATAGTTTCTCTGCTGCTAATTTAAAAATGAAAACCTGTATGTCAAGGAAAATATAACAGTCAAATAATTAACCCTTATGCATTATAAAACCTTAAAATAATTAATCCTTGAACATGAACATGTGCAAACTAAAGTGAGAATATTGACATCAATAGTCAAAACTAAACTGCATTCAAATTATAATGCTAGGGAAATAAGACAGCTGGACAAGCAAATCTACTGAAAACTCTGAAAGGTCATAATGGGGTCCAAAAATTGTTATTGTGTTCACAGCATAGCTACTTTCTTATGGGCTCACCCTTCAAGCAGAATAATCTGTTTACAATAGGATGTGGTATATGTAAATATAACTTATCCCTTCGTCATGCAGACGATTTAATTGGAGAATGCACAAGTGTTGAAAGTTGTTCAAAGAACCAGTTTTAGGCACCATCAGACTGGATTGTTAAGTTTCCTCCAGTGATAGGGGTGAGGAAAATGCTGTTCACAACTTCTAGATAAAACTAAAACAGTAGGATCCAGGTTGTAAAACACTAGTCTTTTCCTATAAGGTATTTAATCTTACAACACAACACTTTGTCTCTGATAAATGTGTTAAAGAAATACAACACCCAAGACATCCTGGGCAGCTCCCTCTCCTTTGCGCCCCACATCAAAAACATCAGCAGGACTGCATTCTTTCACAAACTAAACCTATCCAGACTCTGCCCATCCCTGTCTCAATCCAGCACTGAAGTTCTGGGTCATGCATTTATTTGATTGTTTTATATACTGCATTGTCTTGTTTATGTCTCTTATGCTGGTGTTATGTATTGTGTATCTTGTTTTGTATGTGTTTGTACGGCGACCTTGAGAGCCTTAAAAGGCGCCTATATAAAATAAATGAATTATTATTATTATTATTTGTAACATCCCTTATAGACGACGGCAATGCTGTCCTCTCTGGCCTTCCCACCAAACTCCTCAATAAACTCCAAATCATTCAGAACTCTTGCCCGGATCATCACCAAGGCTTCTGACCCCATCACCATCCAACTGCACTATACAACACCGGATTGAGTACAAAAAACGTCCTGCTCATATACAAAGCCTCCCCACAACCGCTCCTCTTTTAAGATTTGTTCCTGAAATGTAAGGTGTCCTTGGATACTTTGAAAGGCTAAATAACATTTATTATTATCATTATTATTGACACTTCACCTACTAGTAATGCCAAACAATATAATGTTACTGCTCACTAAACTATTGAGTGTTTATTATGGAGGCCATAGGGAGTTAGTGAGTAACTTCAGCCAGGGCCAGTGTTTTACTATTGGCCCTCTATCTTACCTAATGATGGCAGGCTGGTTCTGGGCAGTGGTCCTCACTCCCTCCTCAATATACTCCTGGTATTTTGAGCAGGAAGCTGTATGGCCTCTCATCTGAGAAAGACCAACCTGGATAGTAAGAAAAAACACATCAGCAAGTGCACAATCAAAATGATACACTTCTCAATGTTTTGACACTGTAATTCTCTCACTGTGTCAATGTATAAATACTGACACTCAGACTTAGACTCAGTATCGATAAAGTTTGGACATTTGTAGTTATGATATCCTTGCATGTTTTCCAAATCAAATTCACAACAAATGAGTCTTCGAATTTTTGAATGTGTTAACTTTTGCATGAAATACCTGTGCTCCACATCCTTTACATGCAGCCACTGATGATTGGATGACAGCCTCTAGGTCAGCAGCTTTAGTCCAGTGGCCGAGCCCGGCCCGACACACAGCACAAACGGGTTTCATTGGACGCAAACACTCCTGCAAACAACTCTGACAGAACCTGCCAAGAAAGGGGTGAATAGTGTAAAGATGAACCAAGTAAGGGAAACAATACATTGCAATTCTGATCCATTTTAGATCTGGTATCTATTTACAAGTGTCCCTACTGTTTATAGGCTCCCATTTCAATACAGAAACAGATGCTTTCGATTGTTAGAAGATCCATGTATAGCTCTCAACTAGAGCTTCCTGTAAATCCTATGGAAAGTCCCCACCTCAAGAGGGCGCAGGGACTTGTAGTTCTTTAATGTGATTTGGTGCGTCCAAGCAATGGGGATCGAAACTACAACTCCCAAGTGGTGTCGCCTCTTTGATGTAAACAAAACTGAAACTGGTTTAGCGAACTGGCATTGGTTTTACCAAATATACAAGTAAGCTGAATGATAGGATCATAACAAAAACAGGAGCACGCATGTCCAATGTTTGCGACTCTGGTGGCACATGTTTAAAACTATCCTTTCCGCACAGTGTGTTTACCTCGAACCTTTGCATCGCTAGTGTTCGAGCAGGGTTTAGGGGAGGACGATCGAGATAAAAAGGCAAAATACTCACGTATGACCGCATTGTGTCGTTACGGGACTGTCGAATATTTCGAGACAAACTGGGCAGAGGAATTCTGACACGTCGCTGCTCCCATCAGAGACGTTCTTCTTGTGCTGTGCTGCACTAAACCCTCCGAGCATCGCCATTTCTTTTCTTCACTGTCTGTCGGTCCCCCACCGACCGTTCACGTAACGACGTCATCAGATTCTAGGTCTTTTTTAAGGAAGAGGGCGGAGTTATCACTAAAAATACAACATATCACAACATTTTCAAAATATTATTGTGTATTAGTTACAATGCCAACATCCTAAAAAGGTAGATAAATAAATAAACGACTACTGATTTTAAAAATCAATTGATCTGCTATTTTTTTTAAATGTAAAAAAGTATAGACCAACATTTAAAATCCGAATGAGAAGTCCTTTATTTATCCAGTTGGTTAATGCACATGTTAAATAGATTTAGACGGCATTCAAGTAGGCTATTGTACGCAGAATCTTGAGGTACCCTACTTATACTACTTACGTATTTATTTTACTTTTGTAGGCTACTCCATTAGCCTACACCTTGATTCAAATATTGTACTTTGTAGTACACTACAGTAATATCACAAAAAACAATTATTTACATAATAAGATGATCAAAACAAAGTATAGATAAACTCAATACATTACAATATATGATGAACTCTTCAAAGCCTCCATTAAATTCCGTAACATTAATATTTACATTTGAAATTGGCCATTCTGCACAGTGATTAAGTTTTGATGCCAACTTAGTATAGTTAGAGTTTTTTTTAACTGTTTTACGTATAAGTACTTATTTCACCATTGAACTAGCATACATAGCCTACACTTAAAGAAAGGTAATGTCAATATCAAAAAGGTAGATAACTGAAGCAATTGCTTACAAAAACAGCTTCTTACTAGTTATAGATTGATGAGTGTAAGGCAAGGCCAGTTTAATTATATAGCACCTTTCAACACAAGGCAATTCAAAGTGCTTTACAAAAATGAAAGACATTAAGAAAATGGCATTTAAAAACAGTCATTAAAAAGAAAAGATAATAAAATAAACATTAAAAGAAAACATGGATACAAGTTACAGTGCAGTTTAAGATATGAATAGTTCAATTAAAAGCAGCAGCAACAAGAAAAGTCTCTAGCCTGGATTTAAAAGTAGTGAGAGTTGCAGCGGACCTGCAGGTTTCTGGGAGTTTGTTCCAGATATTTGGAGCATAATAACTGAACGCTGCTTTACCATGTTTAGTTCTGACTCTGGGGACAGAAAGCTGACCAGTCCCTGAAGACCTGAGAGATCTGGATGGTTCATAATTTAGCAGGAGGTCAGAAATGTATTTTGGGCCTAAACCATTCAGTGCTTTATAAACCAGCAGCAGTATTTTGAAATCAATTATTTGACCAACAGGAAACTAGTAAGACTTCAGAACTGGAGTGATGTGATCCACTTTCTTAGTGTTAGTCAGGACTCGAGCAGTGGTGGTGTGTTTTTTCTGATAAAGATTGTATATCCATGTACCTCGCACAGTGATGAAGTCGGTGGGCTCTGCATCTCCTCCTCCTCTTCCTCCTCCGGCTCTCAAACAGCACGTGGGCCCCCAGTGCTGATGAACTGTCAGAACTGTCCTGGCGCATGCGCAGTGTGATGATGGGAATTTCCAACAGCTGAGGAGGCGTAGCTAGCCACGGCTAGCACTTGTAAAGGTAAGATGTACTGGTAGTAGTGGTGTTACAAAAACGGTGTGGCCTCTTATTTGGAGCAGAACTAGACTTGGATGATGTCACAGTGACGGTATAGGCTTCGATAATTGTCTCTTAAATCGGAAAAGATGTGTATCTAGTGGTGGACCGCCCTGCTAGCTCAAGCAATGTTAGCTAGTCAGCTGCGCTGAAATGGGCGTTCACTGCTGAGCCGATACTCGACTAGGGGCCCATGCGAGTGACAGCATCGGGTTTTGTTGGTTTCAGTTTCATGAAAAATTAACATACACGCTGTCTTTGAGCCGTGTATGTTATTATCAGCGTTGGTCGTGATAGGTTGCAGTTAATGCGCAATACTAATGCAGGGGGCTGTTGCTAGCAAAGGCATGATGTTGCTAGCTCTCCAAACGGATGTTCACTGAGGTTGATGTGTGAGGCAAACCACAGCCAGGGAACCAGGAGCAGATACACTGCTGTGATTCCAGCTTTACGGTAGAATTAAGACTAGTACATGTCTAGATGTTCATCCGTATGTAAACAGTTATTATGGTGTTGTTTCTTTGAGCTAAGCATGAGTATAGGCTACTATGTTGTAGTACACGCATGTTGTACCGCTGGCTCACATATTTAATAGCGCAAACAACATTCGTGTAATACAAAATAAGTAAGTCTGTCAACAGTGAGACCCGATTCCGGTTCATGTAGAATGTAATTAATAAACTGTTGGTCTTGGTTGCGTATATAGTGATAGTTATCTATCAGTCCAAGTATTGACTATACGACCGATATATAATAGGCCACACAATGCACCCATCAGGACAGTTACTGAGAGAGATAGCAATGGTTGGTGTTTTATTGTTACAAATGCATCTTCTGTTGGACTGAATTAACGAGACTGAGTCAGAAGAAAATTATGTGTCCCAAGTTTCCTCCTCTATTTGTGTATCTGATTTAGAGATGTCCATTTTCATATGTCTCTTCTGTGTCATTACAGCTTGGAGACTGCTAAGAAGACTGCACATGAATGTGTCTTCATGATGACTGACCTTCAACTCTCCACTTGCTGTAACTAAGAAATGGAATAGTCCCAACTCTGCTTTGACAAAGCGTGAAGCAACCACTCCTCCTGACATCATCTTCCACGACATAGGCCTGTTTGTCTGGAAACAAGTCAGGCTTTGAGCCAATACCAGAGATGCCCGTAAGAAAGCATCCCTACAGGCTGAAGCCTAGCTACACCAACTGAAAGCATAAGACAACCGCATCTCTCTTTTTAAAGGATGTGCTGCTGATTGGATGCTAAATCTCATTCTTCTTCCACCTCTCCAGACGTTGAGTGTGTGCCAGGGTTTACATTGAATATGGTGACCAAAAATGGTGCTTGAATGTGGCATACTGGTGCAGAGTATGCTAAAGAGGGTGAGGCTTTTTCAGAAAAGTACAACAGCTGACTGATAGTCTGCTGCCAATAATGGATGCCAAGTTAAAGGAGGACCTTTTTCGAAGGTATGTAACGGCACTGGAGAGGCGTCTGGAAGATGGAGGTGAATATACAGCAGGGGACAGAGGGCGGCGTAAGGACAGCGAGGCCCTACTCTCAACAGCTACAGCTCTGCTAGGGGCCTACCAGCCGGATCCTGGACAGCGTTTTCGGATGGTTCGTTTCTACGAAATGGTGGATAATTCTCTCCGCTGCCAGAGAGGAGGCAACATCAGGAGCCTGGAGAGAGCCTTCAACACATTAGAAACCATCTGCACCAACCTCTTGCTATTCCCCTGGAAGAAGGAGTTCAGATGTATTAAAGTGAGTTGAGTTTATTACTTAAATATAATGTATGCTATTTGTCTCAATAGTTGATCCTGTACCTAATAACTCTCGTAAAAAATACAATAACATAAGGCTACACAAAATTAGCAACTCTGTTATTAACAATTAAAATACATCCTACACTATACATAACAAACAAATACTGCCATCTAATTCTGTTCAAATTTAGTACACTTAGTTTGTTATCAATGGTTTGTATGTAAATCAACATTAAACACCCCATTGGTTATATTTTCTAATTATGTTAAATGTTTTAGATCTTTCTTTGTGGTTAACTCAGTAGCAAAACCAACCTATAGAGTTATATGTTATAAGAGGAAGAACATGCAGATTTGAGCTTTATTGTGGCATGCTCTTTTAATTGACTTTTTGACACCAACCCATTTGTCTTTTAGACCTTCACTGGCCCATATGTGTACCATCTGCAGTCAGCCATCTCTGATCCTGAACTCCGGACTCTAATGCGCACCATTGGCTACGCCTGTGACCATGATTCGCAGTTCCATTTGCAGGAGCACCCGGGAGGCACAAATCATCTCCGGCAGTTGGCGTTCGAGCTCTTCTTGGCCCAGGCAGAGTGTCGTCTGCTGGGAGAGGTAGTGGCTCTGGCCCGTGGCTCGGCCTCAGAGCTGGAGGCCCTGGAACTCCGCAAAGGTTGCAGAGATGATGCAGCCGGCTGTGCTGAGGCGCTCCGCAGACGCGACAGCCTCGGGGCCGATATGGCTCGGCTGTCTGTGCGCCCGTTGGATTTAGAGAGGCCTCATGCCCACCACCTGAGGCGAGGTAGCCGACCATCTAAGTCTGTGGATGTTACAGATGGAGCTGGTCACTGGCACGCAGCAGTCAGCAAGCCTGTGTTAAAGGCCTCGCTGAGTCTGAGGAAGGAGACTCTATTTGTGGATGCAGAGGAGGATATGAAGGATGAGATCCTCCGGCCCCTCACCTCAACGTCTCTCTTCTCTGTGGCCGCTCCTCAGTCCTATAGCCCTATTGCAGATTTCTTCCCTATTCAGTCACCTCCCCCGGCTGACGCTTACACATCTTACCACCTGTCCTCTTTGGATGAGATTGACTTGTACACAGAGAGGGGCGTTGGGACGGGAGGAAGGCAGACCCCCTCTCGCCCTCCTTCCAGAGAGCCTCGGGATCAAAGGGATGCGTGGCTGCTCAAAGCTCACGGCAGTGTGAAGTGTCAGGGCTGTGGGCTGGCCTGCTCCTCTATGGCCTCCTGCCAGAGGTGTGACATGATCCTCTGCTCTACCTGTCACGATGTGGACCCCTCCCCTTGCTGTGGCCTACAGGACTACCACCCGAAATCCCCACGGCCCCTTGACGGATACATTCCTGTGAAGGAAAAACTCTCCGTGTACTCAAATACGCACTCCCACTCCCATCTACATCCGCACCCCCTCACGCTGACCCACTCACACTCCCACCCCCACCCTCACCCCCAGATGGTGGAGAAACCCCTCATGTCCACGAAGCTGTTTGCCAGCAAGTCTGTTGCCTTGACAACGCCAAAGGGAGGCAGCAGTGAGCGACTGAGCTTGGGGGGATCGCGATGTGGGTTTTGCAACAAGCCAGGGGCATCCCACACCTGTGTGAACTGCTCCAAGGTGTCATGTGACTCGTGCATGGGCCTGTATGCGAAGGATATTTGCACCAGAAAGAATCCCCAGCACAGCTTTGTGCCCAACCATCAGCTCAACTTCAAATCTGGCACCATATCTCACCTGGTGTACCGATGAATGAGGCAGACAGTATTTGTTTCTCCCTCCTAGTCCCCTCCTTCAACCCGCTGCATAGTCTCGCACTATTGCTTTAGCGCTGTTCCTGGTTAGCAACTCATTCACTATCTCCCCCTTTATCTGCTGGTCTTTTAGCTCTATCTTACCCTCTCTTGAACTTTGTACATTTTCTCTTACCATCAGTAATGGCCCTGAAATGCACATGCCACAGAGAGCCATATTGTCTGCCCATCTCTTTGCATTGTACAAGTTCAGGCCTTTTATCTATTTCTTCTTCCTTTTACCCTGCTACCTGCTCTTGAGTAGTTTTGTGATGTTGTAGCACTTTCCCCAAATCCTCAAATGTTGTCCTCTTCAAAGGGGAAACTGGAAAAAAGGAGAGAATTCCTTCTTATTTTGAATGAATTCCGTCCAAATTAACATATATACTTTGCCTAACTTCTCAGCTAAAAATTCCTCTAATATATATATATATATTGTGTGTGTGTGTGTGTGTGGTGTGTGTGTGTGTGTGTGGTGTGTTGTGTGTGTGTGTGTGTGTGTGTGTGTGTGTGGGTGTGTGTGTGTGTGTGTGTGTGTGTGTGTGTGTGTGTGTGTGTGTGTGTGTGTGTGTGTGTGTGTGTGTGTGTGTGTGATGTGTGTGTGTGTGTGTGTGTGGTGTGTGTGTGTGTGTGTGTGTGTGTGTGTGTGTGTGTGGTGTGTGTGTGTGTGTGTGGTGTGTGTGTGTGTGTGTGTGTGTGTGTGTGTGTGTGTGTGTGTGTGTGTGTGTGTGTGTGTGTGTGTGTGTGTGTGTGTGTGTGTGTGTGTGTGTGTGTGTGTGTGTGTGTGTGTGTGTGTGTGTGTGTGTGTGTGTGTGTGAGAAAGACCTCTGAGCTTGCATTGTGAAACAGGAGATCTTTTTAAACTTGAAAGATAGTATGGAAACACAGAAAACATACACTGGAAGTCAATAGTATATATATTTTTAATCTCTATTCTCTAGAACAATGTGAGACTGTTAAATGGGCATGAGGTCTGGCATTGGGACTTTTGGAGTTTAAACTTGTGGGTGGGTGGGGGGGTGGGACATATCTCAAAGGGACATATTGAGACAATGGTCAGATGCCATATATTATATTCAAAAGATTATGCCTTGTAAATGAACCCTCAATTGTTTCTGGTTATATGACTGAGGTCTAAACGCTGCTGTTGACTTGAGACATTGATGAAGATAATGAAGATGTGTGGCGTTGACTTCTTTCTGGTAAATAGCCTGTTGAGTTGTGTCAGTTTCAATCCCCCCCCCCCCGCCATTCCCTTTCATCACACTCCTTAAACCACCATGGCCCATGATGTAGTGCACCCTTACCAGATCAGTCATTCCCAGCCTCAGGTGGAGTCACAGGAAGTCTCCCACTGAGCCTCAAATCAAGTCATTACGCTTCTTTGACAGTGTGTGAGCATGTTGATAGTATGAAAGTGTGTACTCTGATACGGTTCCTGTCTACCTCAAATGGCTTCAGTTTATACACCCAGCGAGTTTGACATTGTGGTTTCAAACCAGCCCAACTTGTGTTTCAGCTTTTAATGATCCGATGATGTCACTTCTAAAAGGTTAGCAGAGGTTATTTATCTTGTGAGATAAACCTTGGCTTTGTCATCTGAACCAAATGGCACAAGGTGTTCTGTCTTGTAGCCGTTTACACTTTCTGTAATCACAGGGAGTGGACACAAGAAGATGAACATCTCTAAATGATCAGGCAATTCAATACAATAGCCCTGCATCAAATACTACCGTTGTTAACCTAAACAGTGTGGGCTTGGGTGAAATGGTCATAAAGGTGCTCATTTAGTTTGATGGTATCCATTCAGCCTGTGGTAGTGAAGTGGATCGTATTGAACTGTAAGTTGTCTGTATTTGTTCCCTTTGACAAAAAGACCCCCATTCAAATATGTAGCAGTTCAATACAACTGCACCTACGACTATGAGCTCAAAATAGAGTTGAATGAAAAAATACCTCTCTGACATGGAGTTAATAACATCTGATAGTTTAGCTTATCAAAGGTAGCATTTAGCACAAGGCTATTGAACTCAATCATTACAGGGATTTATGTTGTTGTGTCTTCCAGCCTGTACAGCATAGTGATGCCAACTTTTCTTATTTGAAGACCTCGAAAGCCCTCTCTTAGTACCTTGATTCGGTGAGTTTCCTTAAGCATGCTACTGCCATTTGCTGTGTACATTTACACAAAACCATTGACATAAGGGCTGAACAAAACTGTGCTGACATGTAAACTGAGTGTCATACATGTATAAAGTATCTAAATAGTGATGAGGTTTTGATTGTTAATGTAAAGGGATACTTTATGATGTATGTGGCAGAGGATAGTCATCCAAGGGCTAATTTTGAATCACATTTCATTAAAAAAAATGTAGGTTATCTTGACAGATCGTGTTCTGTCAGAAATAACCTTTAAACGCCTTAAAGCTCATTCAACTGTCTTATCGAGTATTTGAAGTGTTATTGACATTTTGTTTTACCAGCTTGTAGGTTAAACATTAACATGGTTTTGCAACGCTACATGAAGTTAATATAAAGCTTGATTTATGACAGCTACGGTAGGAATTCAGAGTTATTACAAAACAGTGAACACACAAGTATGGATTCACTACCATGCGCATACTGAACCATGTATTTTAACAGGAGCAACTTACAACTTGTAACCCATTATATGAACTATGTGCTTACAAGGGTTATTGCCTGTAATAATAACCATGTTTTGCCTGGAAGGAATTTTGTTTTGCTTTCAGATATTACCTGAACACTGGTGTGGTTACAGGGAGTGATGTCTGATCTCTTCTGTTCATTCCTTCCCTTTAAAACTCAGTTGTTTGTCTTTATCATGTTAAACAACTTAAAGAAGGGAACTTTTGATACTGTTTGGATGTAGCTGAAGGGTTCTTTGAGAGATGCTTTTGGGTCAACGTTGGCTAACCTAGGTGTGGCAAAAGTATTCAGTGATCTAAGGGGAGGTGTGCAATCGTTTGCTTTTCATATAAGGAAAGCCTTTCTACATATTTTAAAAATATTTATAATAGATATATTTTAGTTGCGCTTTTCCATTTATTGCAAATCATACCAGCAACAAAGCGACTTCAAGAAGTGTTGAGCCATGTTGAAAGAATGATCATATTGCCAAATGAAGAACAAATATATGGAGTGGAAAGTGAATTCCTGTTGCATGCCCAGATGTACAGTTATTGTTACATGAATCTGTGGTTTTGCTCAAGTTTAGCCTTGTGTCTTCAGATGTTGGCCTTTGTAAGATAAGACGCTAGAAAGAGAATCACCAACAACCTACTTGCACACCATGGGACGAGGAGCGGACCCCAGTCAGTGGACTGATACTTCGTGTAGGTCACTACAAAGGGCTTAACAGTCTTCAGCGCTGCTGCTAAGTTTGTGGGCACTGTTTTAATCTTTTAGTGGACAACTTGTCATTGGTGAATCTCTAATGTGGGGCTTACTTTACATGTTTCAGTGGATGTGAATTACTGATTTTGGAAAAAACGAGCTTTTTTTTATTTTATGTCATGGAATACATTGAGCCATTTGAACATAATTGGTTTTAACCCACTGGACACACTCAAGTCATTGTGGAAGTCAATACTCCCTTTACCTCCCTGTGTGGTTATCTTACTGATGGTGGTGTAGTTAGGCAGTCTCTTGACCATTCCCTATTTCCCAACCCTCTCTTGGCATGCTCTGAACAAGACCCATACCTCCCCTCTCACCCTACATGGACCCTCACCCTCTGTTCTCCCCTCCACCTTGGCACTGAAGATCATTGCACAATGTCTATATGAAGGGGTATGGACCTTACGATCAATATGTGGGCACGGGGGTGGAAAGGGAAAATAGCCAAAATTGTTAATCGGTGAAAATATATAAATGAGATTTTATAAAATAATTTAAAGAATAAAATTCTGGAAAAACAAACATGTTGCTTTGAGTTTTTGATTAAAATGTTATATGTTACTGAACTGTTCAATGCATTGTGCACAAAGTTGGGTTTATGAATCACTAAAGGTAAGTGTTTACTCTAGGATTAAACAGGCATGTTTCACATTAGGTTCAAGGTTATTAAAATATGACTGTTATCCTATCTATTATCTCTAGTCATTCACACAGATTTGCAACTCTTACTGTAACTTGTGAAGATAATTAACCATTGACTTCCTGTTGCTGGTATTTCATTTATCACCAGCCTGTTTCCCCTCGATGAAAGTTTGGTCTGTGTTGAAAGCGAACATGTGTGTATCTCCCTTCTCACCCTGGCTCTGGTCAATGTTGAGTGTTCAGGCTACCTGAACCATGGGATGGCTTTTTCCTATACGACCAGAAGATGGCGATAAATACCCTTACATTGAAAGAATCATGAGGCTGCAGCAAGTACACCAATCCTTTAGAAAAAATACCAAACATTTAATGGAAATATGTTTCATGGTAGGATTTAACTCTATTGAATTTGTACATTAAAACTATATAATTATTATTTTTGTTTTATAGCAGCTGTTTGAGTTTGCTGCAACATCAATTAACCTTTTGTGTTCATTTATTCCCTAATCAAGACTAACATGGACATTTAGACGAAGGCAACCTCCAATTAGAGAAGGCGATGAACGTGCAAAGGCATTACTATATTTCTGTAAAGCAGAAAAACAGCTAAGGTTAGCCTTTATTTTACATGTATTATGTTCTATAACTTCTATGTGGAGAGGAACAAATACCTCCTAGATCAAATTGTACTGCAATTGAACAGATAGCAGTCAGAGAGGAAACAGACTGATTGTATAATAAGTTATTAAATAATCATCTCTGTTATTAAAAAAATGCAATGTAAGAGCCTTTTTACTCCAGACATTTTGACTTGTCACAGTAGGAAAAGTAGAGCTGTTACTTAAAATACTAGCTCTCCTCTGTTATGTTCATGTGTTCCAAGTGAAAGTGACAGAGAGC